CTTTGACTGGTGAAGGTATATCGATTAAGGCGAGATTCACAAATAAATATGGCAAGTTCAACAAGAAGAAGGGAAAAAGTCAGCAAAAGTCTTAAAGTTGTGATGCATCTGGTATTCGATGTTATCACTGTAAGAAGGATGGTCATACAAGAAAAGTGTGCCATGAACGGCTGAAAGGTCATGAAGGTAAGGATAATGGTAACAAAACCATTGTCCAAGATGATTTTAACTCATCTAATTTTCTTGTGATTTCAAAAAGCGACTCAAGCAATTAGTGGATTATGGATTCAGGTTGCACTTGGCACATGACTCTAAACAAAGACTTGTTCGAGGAACTATTTGATCAACATGGTGTATCTGTATTGCTGGGAAACAACAAAGCTTGCAAGATTACAGGTGTTGGATATGTGAGATTCAAGCTCCATGATTAGTCAATAAGGTTGTTGACCGAAGTCAGGTATGTACCTGATTTAAAGAGAAATTTGATTTCTCTTAGTGAATTCGATAAGAAAGGATATGTTTTTCATGGAGAGAAAAGTATCTTAAGATTCATGAAGGGGTCGAAGAAATTCTTGAGAGGATTGAAGAAACAAGGCTTGTACACTCTTGAGGATGAAATTGTAAGTGGTTATGAAGATGTTGCATCCATGAAACCTTTGTCGAAGATAGAAATTTGGCACATGAGATTGGTCCATGTCAGTTAAAAGGGGCCTGGTCGAACTGGGGAAATAAAATCTGCTTGGTGGAGACAAATTCGAAAAGCTAAATTTTTGTGGACCCTGTTTACTTGGAAAATCTTGCAGAGTGAAGTTCAATAAAGGAAAACAAAGAACACATGGATCCCTTAACTACATTCACGCTGATCTTTGGGGGAATGCAAGGTGTCCATCACATTCAGGAGCAAGTTATTTTCTATCTATAGTTGATGGTTATTCCAAGAAAGTTATGGGTCTTCATCCAAAAGACTAAGGATGAAACTTTTGAGAATTTCAAAAGTTGGAAGACTCTGGTCGAAAATCAAACTGGCAGAAAGGTGAAGAGGTTGATAACCGACAATTTCCTTGAATTTTGCAATGAGGTGTTCGACAGTTTTTATGCAGCCTCTGGTATTGCAATGCACATAACTACTATAAGTACTCCCCAATATAATGGTTTGTCTGAAAGGTTTAATCGAACCATTTTGAAAAGAGTTAGATGCATGTTGACTAGTGTTGGGTTAAAGAAGGTGTTTTGGGCAGAGGTTGTTTCCACATCAACATAACTGATAAATAAATGTCCTTCGACTGCATTAGATATGAAGACAACGAAAGAAGTTTGGTCGGGACATCCACAAGATCTTAAAAAAACTTAGAGTCTTTGGATGTGTAGCTTATGCTCTCATTAGGAAAGACAAGGTCGAACCTAGAGCTCTAAGATGCATGTGTATGGGATATCCTGAAGGAGTCAAAGCTTATAGGCTATGGTGCCTAGAGCCAGGTCACATGAGGTGTATCACCAGTCGAGATGTAACTTACAATGAAGCTGAGATGGTTTTCAAGGAAAATGATGACGTTGGTCGAAGTGTAGAGATATCTGAAGAAGTGCTAAAATAAGAAGAGATTCCTATTGAGGTGGAGCATGTCGAGGCTGAATTACGTATCTGAGGTCAAGTCGAAGAAGAAGAACAAGATGCTGAAGATATTGAGGAAGTTGAGGACATATGTCAATGACTACCTGTTGGCAAGAGTTAGGCCAAGAAGAGCCATAAATCCACCTCAGAGACTTGGGTATATAGATCTTATAGCTTTGCCTTAATCTTTGCAAGTGAGGTTCTAGATGAAGAATCTAGATACTATAAGGAAGTTATGAGGAGTCGAAAGAAGACCTGAATGGGTGAAGATCATAGATGATAAGATGAAATAACTTCATGATAACCACACTTGGGAACTAATCAAGAAACCTACTGGAGCCAGGATAGTCAACTGTAAGTGGATTTTCCAAGTTAAGAAAGGAATCAAAGGAGTGACGTCGAAAAGATACAAGGAAAGATTAGTCGCAAGGGGTTTTACTCATAAAGAAGATGTCGACTTCAATGATGTGTTCTTGCCTTTTGTTAAGAACAAGTCCATTCGAATATTACAGGGCTAGGTGGCACAGTTCGACCTAGAACTGGAACATATGGATGTGAAGACTACATTCTTGTATGGAGATCTAGATGTAACAATCCTGGTAAAGCAACCTAAAGGGTACGCAGAAATGGGAAAAGAAGATTATGTGTGCTAGATGAATAGATCTTTATATGGACTAAAACAATCTCCTCGGTAGTGGAATAGGATATTTGACAAGTTCATGGCACACATAGATTTTATAAGAAGTCAATTTGATCATTGTGTTTACTTCAAATTTTGACCTGGAATTTCAAGTGTTATTTTGTTTCTTTATGTGGATGATATTCTCATAACAAGCAATAATGACGAGGATATAATGAAGGTGAAGGTTGAACTCAATAAGGAAATTGAAATGAAATATTTGGGAGTTGCGTCCAGGATTCTTGGGATTGATATCTGAAGAGATAGAAAATAGTTGAAATTATGCTTATCTCAAGAGACATACCCTACTGAAGATTTAAAGCATGTTGTGACTCTGAAAAAACCCTCAATTCAAGATAAGTATAGATCAGTGACCTAGTACTGAGGTCGAAAGAGCTTATGCGAATAACATCCCATATGCTAACATAGTAGGTTCTTTGATGTATGCTATGGTTTGTACTAGACCGACATAGCATATGCAGTAAGTCTTATAAGCAGGTACATGGCGAATCCTTGAAAGGCTCACTGGCAAGCATTGAAGTGGATTCTAAGGTACATAAATAGATCTCTAAACAGAGTCCTAATTTATTGTGGAGCCTGTGCTGAATATAGTAAACTAGTAATCGAACGATATGTCAACTCTGATTATATAGGTTGTATGGTTTCCAGAAAATCTATTTATGGATATGTGTTCACTATGTTTGGCATAATAATCAGTTGGAAAGTGAGGCTTCAGAAGGTTGTCACCTTATCAACCACTTAAGACAAATATATTTCCCTCACTTAAGATGTGAAAGAAGCATTGTGGTTTGAAGCTCTTGCTAAGAAGCTTAAACTTCAAGGTCGAGTTATCATTGTTAAATGTGATAGTCAAAGTGTAATACACTTGTCGAAGAATTCATCCTATCATGAGCGAACCAAGCACATCGATGTGAGGCTACTTTTCATCAGAGGGGTAATCGGGCATGGAAGTCCAAGTGTTGAAGTTTTCGACAAATCCTAATGTTGCTGATATGATCACCAAGACTTTGCCAAGTTGCAAGTTTTTCCATTATATGCAGTTGATAAAGCTGCATGTAGAAGGCTAGTTTGTTTCAAGGTGGAGCTTTGTGAGATATTGGATCGAACTCTAGTATGGTCGAAGGGTAGCTTCTTGGTTCGACAATTCGACAGGATCCAAGCATGTGGTCGAAGCTCGTTCGAATGTTGGGGTCGAGGACTGCAATGCTGTAGTCGAAGTATGTTCAAGTATGCAATAGTCGAAATGTTAGAATTGTAGTTAGCATGTCGAAGTGGGTCTGTTTGTTATACCTAATTGTTTAAGTTAGCTTATTCCCTAAGTTAGCTTGTAATGAGTCTGTGTAAAAATCCATTAGTTTAGTATGTTGGTTTTCTTATAAATAGCATACTAGTATCTCATTATTGCACAATGCAAATCCTAATTAGGGTGAGAAAGGTTATTGGTTATTCTGTAACACTTGTAATCTTGTTTTAAAGTGAAAGTAAAGAATAACAGTTTATAACTAATTCATTGTGTTCTTCTTGCTTTCCTCTTTTCTACCCTTGTGAGTTTTTTGCTGTCAAAGAAATCTATTATACTTTGTTATTCTAGCATCGTATATCACAACAATTCAAGAATCCGAGTTTACAAAACCCGTTAAACATTCTAGAATGTGTAAAACATTTTTGTCAAAATAAAAGGTTTTCAAAAAAGTTAAAAGATGGGAAAACAAACTCACAATAGTTTGTTATGGTCAACCCTTCTCTATTCTTGCTAGGTCGCCCATTGAGGTACAATAGTCCTCACTATAACTAGAAAAAGGGGATTCTTCACCAAGCCAAAAGTTAAAATGACGCCAACATTGCACTCAAGGATTCCCTGTCCAATATGTGGTGTCTCCGCTGAGTTGTGTGAATTGGAATTCCTATGTGGCGCGAAAATATATCACTAGACATCTCAAACTCACATTCCAACCATAAATCCACACTTGTCTCGTGCTTTTCTTGCGCTAAAAACAAGTCTCACACCTCCCCTTTCCCTTTATATAAACAAATCAACAATCATACATTAATCACAACCTCATATTTTCTTCTCTGCTACTCCACAATTAAGGACACTATCTTTTTCTCTTCTTCTACTTCCATAGAGAAAAATGTCATTCATTTCGAGAGTTGTAGCTCCATGGAACAAGAAGCATATTGGAAATGGTGATGGTGTTGTTTGGTATGGCTATCCTCTTGCAGTTTGTAATGAAGGATGGTGATTATGATTATGCTCCAGCAGCATAAATTAACCAGTATTAATTACTATCTAATTAACTAGTGTTGTAAATTTGATGTTGCCTATCACTAAAATCACATCAACTAGTTATAATGTAGCTCTTCCTTTTGGTTGTATGATTAGTTCTAATTGAAAAAGAAAAGAATATATACTCTAATGTTACCTATTACTCATCAGATAGTCCTTTTATGAATGATAGTCTTACTTATATGTTTGAGCAGCTTTTGCTATGAAGAATGAAAAAAAATCATATCAATGAATGTGTAACAGAACAAATTTTATTATATAATATACCCTGTATATCAATTTCACATCAAGTATATATTCATATTCAAATACATTCCAATGATGTATTGAATAAATAAATGAGAATTGATGAAAGGTTATACATATATAAGGTGTAGTAGTAATATATAAGAGCTTGGTAAATTTCACTTGGCCATCATAACCTTAACAAATTCATCATAATTAATTTGACCATCACCATCAACATCAGCCTCTCGAATCATCTCATCAACTTCTTCATCAGTTAGCTTCTCGCCAAGATTGGTCATTACATGACGAAGTTCAGCAGCAGAAATGAATCCATTCTGATCTTTATCGAACACTCTGAATGCTTCTTTCAGCTCCTCCTCTGAATCTGTGTCTTTCATTTTCCTTGCCATAAGGTTTAGGAATTCAGGGAAATCGATTGTTCCATTACCGTCAGCATCAACTTCGTTTATCATGTCTTGTAGCTCTGCCTCGGTTGGATTTTGGCCTAGTGACCTCATCACAGTTCCAAGCTCCTTTGTTGTGATGGAACCTGCAAATGTCATATAGAACATATTGCCAAGAAAATATTCTCCCAATTAAGGCCATGCTCACAAAACTTGATGCTATTATGATAACTTATATCAAGCACGGATACAAGCGGAATACCAGACACAACCATGACACATTCACACGCATAAACTTTATAAAAAAATAGAAGAATGATTGAATGTAAATGTCGATTTCTGTAAATGTCAATGTCATGTTAGGCGTCTGTGTTATACACCAATTATGTCTTCAATCTAAAATGTTGATGTTGCATAGATTGATATCAAATTTATAAATTTTATGATTTTAGTTTTTTTTTGCATGATATAATTATGCTATCATGATTTCAAACCTTAATCAAAAACTTTGAATAACTTACCGATACAAATACACGGACACCAAATATGACATCGAAACAGACACAAATAATTATAAAATGATTTATATTTACATATCTTAGGGATTTTGAGATGTTACCTCTCTATGTTGTTATTGTGTAAATTAGACCAAAAACAACGACAACAATAATAATTAAAAACAAAAGAGATTATGGGAGGGGACCAATTAACATGATCATGATAATAATGGAACAAAATGCAATCAAAAATACAGAAAAGAGAAATAAGTAATGATAGATTAAGACATACCATCACCATCTTTATCGAACAAGCTGAAGGCTTCCTTGAATTCAGAGATCTGATCATCTGTGAGTTGATCTGCCATTGTGATATATAGATCTTTCTTTCTTTGAATATGAGTTTTTTTTCTTTATGCTTTTTTGAAGATAGAGAGAGAAAGAGAAAAACAAGAAAGTGAACAAACAATCTTATTCCTACAAAACCTCCCCTTCTTATATCTATGCCATCAACACAAACTCCACTCTTTTTTATTTGCCATAAATAACATATATTGACTTGTTTCCTCTTTCACCTAATATTATCCTATTATTCTAAACAACCTTTAAAACTTGTCACAAATATTGACAATGTTATCTTATGGGTGGGTGATGATTTATTTTGGAATTTTGTCTTAAGATAAATAAAATACAAAAGTTAAATTTGTTACGATTTTAGACTACAATTCAGAAACAAAAATAGTAAAGTTAGAAATTGAAAAAAAATAAATAAGAAGTGTTAGATTGCATTTTAAGTGTCTTGTATCTTATCATATTTTGTATTCTACTTAAGTGCGGTGTATTTTATGGTATTCTACAATTTACTTAAGTGCACTGTATTTTACTCTATCTCTCATCAATTTGTCCTTATGTGTTTGGTCTTTTAGGGTCTTGCGACGTTGGCAATTATATTAAATCACACATTTAACATAATAAACAGTGAGCAAGATCTAACAACATATCAATGTGATCTGACAAAACCTTATCTTACTCTATCTCTCATCAATGTGATCTGACAAAACCTTTTATTGATAATACTTTTGTGTATAATTATCCTTTTTTCCCTTATGTCTATATTGAACATAAGGAGTAGACCGTGTCATCCTTGTCCAGTTCAATATTGGACCCTTGAAAATTTATCCTGTTACGTAGGATGGGAAAATTCCATCTAGGTCACTCATGTCCCTCAACATGCTTTGTGGAGTATCTATCATTTGTCTTTATGGTCATCTAGTTACGAATAATGTTTGATCAACAATAAAGTACTTGACTCTACATCTTGTGTCCATAGTGGTTTCAGGCCGAAGGGTGGTATATACCACTATCAACATGAGAATAACTTATGACACTTTTCATAACATTCTTTATAGTACTCTCAATCCAGTATAAATATTACTCCTAATATTCATACCTATGTTAAGCTTTGATAACTCCTTGTCCATGAATTATGAGATGTGATCATCAGTCTATCTACATAATAGTTTCAACGCTTTAATGTTATTCCAGTTCACAAAAATAGTCGACTACAAATACTGTAAGAATAATGTGCTTATGTTTTATAGGACTTCATGAGTAAGTAACAGTTAACATTTATTAAACAGACTAGCTATTTTAAGGACTTTATTATTTTAGAATAACAAACATAATAAAGAATGTCTTTTACAATTAATAAATAATTTGATATAAGTAGCAAAAGTATTGGTCTCTAGGACTTACACCAACAATCCTCCACTAGCATTAGAGCCAATCAGGCATTACCTCTAATACCCATAGATCTAGTATGACCCCCATGCTTCTGTTGCGCAAGAGGCTATGTTAGTGGATCAGTAACATTGTCAAGTGTAGGTACTCTGTATATCTTCACATCTCCTCTATCTATTATCTCTCGAGTAAGGTGATATCGCATAAGTATGTGTTTGGAGTTGATCTAAGCTTCTTAACTTGTGTGATAGCACCATTGTTATCATAATAGAGATCAATAGGGTCCAAAATCCTAGGGACTATGCCAAGTTCACTAATGAACTTTTTGATCCAAATAACTTTTGTTGGTTCAATTGAGGCAACAATCCACTTGGACTCGGTTGTAGAATCAACAATTGTATCTTGCTTTGAACTTTTCCAGCTCGCAGAGCCACCATTTAAGCAGAACACATAACCAGATTGCGATCTAAAGTTATCCTTATCTATCTAGAAGCTATAAACAATGTATCCAATTAAAGAAAACTCATAATGACCTCCATATATCAAGAATGAGTCCTTAGTCCTTCTCAAGTACTTAAGGATATTTTTTTACAGCTACCCAATGAGCATCTTAAGGATCAGATTGATACCTACTCATTGTCCTTTAAGCATTCGAGACATCTGGTCGAGTACATAACATGGATTACATGATAAATCATATTGTAGATGCGTATGAAATCTTATTCATGTGATCCCTTTCTTCCTTAGTTGTAGGGGGTTCTATTTTTATAGACACATGACATATTTCATATGTATGAATCTTTTCTTGGAATCATGCATATTAAAGCGTATCAACACTTTGTCTATGTATATACTCTGACTTAGCCCAATTAGTTTTCGTGATCTATCTCTATAGATCATGATTCTTAATAAATAGGCTACTTCACCAAGGTCCTTCACAAAAAACCGTTACCCTAGCCAAGTTTTTACTTGTTGTAAGGTAGGGACATCGTTTCTAATGAGTAATATGTCATCTACATATAATACGAGGAAGACGATCATGCTCCCACTAACCTTCTTGTATACACAAGGCTCATCTTCATTCTTTATGAATCCATACTATTTTATTGTTTCATCAAAATGAAGATTCTAGCTTTTCTAGAAGCTTGCTTCAATCCATAGATTGATCGCTGTAACTTGAATATATTTTGGACTTCTTCTGGTATGTCAAATCCTTCAGGTTGTGTCATGTACACATCCTCAAGAATATTCCCATTAAGGAAAACAGTCTTGACATCTATCTGCCATATTTCATAATCATGATATGCAGCGATAGCAAGTAAAATTCGAACAGATTTAAGCATTGCAACTAGTGAAAAGGTTTCATCATAGTCTATCCATTAGATTTTTTATAGCCTTTAGCAACCAGTCTTGCCTTATAGGTATGTAACTTACCATCCATGTCAGTCTTCTTTTTAAAAGTCCACTTACATCCTAAAGGATTAACTTCTACATGATGCTCTACCAAGATCCAAACATGGTTTGTGTACATAGAATCTATTTTAGATTTCATGGCTTCTAGCCACTTCTCAGACTCACGACCAGTAATGACCTCTTGGTAAGTCACATGCTTATCTTGATCCATGAAAAATACATCACCTTATTCAGTTATGAGATATCCATATCTCTCAGGTTGGTGACATATCCTGCTTGACCTACGTCGGTCTTGTTCTAGTTGACCAGGTTGCTCTTTCACAACTACTTGTGTTTTCTGCTCTAATTCCTCCATAGGGGTATCAATGCTTTGTGATTTTTGAATTTCTTTGAACTTTAATTTCCTCCCACTGATTCCTTTGGAGATAAAGTCTTTTTTCCAGGAACACTCCAGTTCGAGTGAAAAACACTTTGCCCTTAGAAGGATTATAAAAGCAATAACTTATTTTTCTTTAGGATACCTAAAAAATAAGCATTTGTCTGATTTTGACTCAAGCTTAGTTTAAATTTGTCGTTCCACATAAACTTCACTGTTGTACCCCAAAATTTACCCTCTCAATTCTCAAAGGATCACCCTGGACCCTCAGGTTTGCTTCTATTAAGTTTCAAGTCTTGAATTAAAATTTTCCAAGAAAATCATTCACAAGGGCAAAATGGTCAAAAGCACACTGAAAAGTCAAACTCTGACTTTTAGATAAAAAAAATCAAGTTTCAACAATTATATTTCATTAAGACATGAAATTGGTTCATCAAAAATCAGAAGTCAGAAATTACTTTGAAAAATCCAAATTTCTAAACATTTAGAAAATTTTCTAAGTGTTAAGAGAATATGGTACTTCAGAACTTCTAAGCCAGCCTCCACGCAAATGCAGTCAAAATTTGCAAAAACGGTTCAGAGCATGATGCTTCAATCAGAACATGTGGAAGCGATGCTCTTCGGTCAAAACATGATTCTTCAGTATATGAAGACTATGTTCAACACTTCGGTCAGAACATCACCCTTCGAGTCTCACTCTGGTCTTCTGCGATCAGAACATCACCAAATCCAAAAACCTCATTTAAACAACCTGCTGCACTGCTATAGCACAGTCCTTCCACCAGCTTCCAGAATAATCCAAGGTGCTGCTAATGTAGTCCACGCCTGCGTTTGTTCAAACCCCATAATTGCACCAAACTAGCATACGAAAACTGTGTTTAAAAAGAAATGGAACAATATGCCAAAAAGGTTTAAAATCCCATTTATTTTCCCCCCAAAACCACAACAAACTCACCTATAAATGAGTTGCTCCATCACATTTTCAAGGGGATGGCTTTTGGAGAGAGAGAATCATTAAAAAAGAGAAAAGAAAACTGTGAAACCTTCGTAAAAACCCAGAATTCCCAAACAGAAAACCAAACCTTTGTTCTTCCCTTTGAATCAAAGAACTTCGCATTTTCTCTTTCGTTGTTCTTGCTAACTCCAGAACATCTGAAGGCAACAGTTCAAATTCCGAGCACATGCTTCAGATTCAAGGTAAGTCTTTCTGACCTTGCATCTTTTCATTCAGAACATCATTAAAATATGTAAATATCATAGTATTGATGTTGTCCATATCATTGCATAAGTAGAAAGACTGTGGATCAGAACTTCTTGATTAAGGCTAGGCTCAAAATTAGGATTAGAACTTCTATAAACTGTTGTGCTTTTATCCTTCTGATTTTCTATTTGTTAAGAACTGAATAAATTACTGATGTGCTGATTAATATGTGGAAAGAGTTGAAATGTGGCACAAAACTTCTGATTTTCACTCACGATTTTAGCACAACACATAACTTCTGGGTTCTCCTCATTGTTTTAACACACAGAACTTCTACGATTTTCTCACTATTTAAACACGCATAACTTCTGATATTCACTCGTTGTTAGCACATACTGAACTTCTGAGTTCTCTTCACTATTTTAATATACAGAACTTCTAAGACTTTCTGATTATTCTAACACTTAGAAGTTCAACACATATCAACCCAGAACTTCTGTGTTTTCTCTCTAACATTTCTTACAGGACCTCAGAGTGTATCAATCCAGAACTTCTGACGCTTCTTTCTGAACCACAGCGCGCCCGACATCAGAACTTCTGATCCCCTTTATTTTGCTTTCAGCAGCATGCTAATTCTA